TGCCAGGGTTTGTGATTGGATATATATTTCCCTGGGAAAGAGCTATGCTGTTCAAGTTGACGCATTCCTAGAACGGCATTCCGTCCAATTAACTTTTTATTGCCCGTGGACCGGCCGGCGACTGACGACTGCCTGTCGTCCAGAGAAATGGAACTGTCGTCACGTCGGCTGACCGTCAGGCAAGCAGATCAGTCACTTGCATGTAGGTTCAAGAAGAACTAGTAGGGACATCTTGAACGTGGGATCCCACGTTGACAGAAGTCTGCCGTTCGGTATACTGTAGACACGCGGAAGATTTCCCGAGTTTCGAGTTACCCTTTCCATATCGCATTCCTTCCTACTGTACCACATAGGGTCCCAACCCCATTGTCTCTAACCTCTGTTCTTCCTCGTTACAGTATTTCAGCGAGCTCGCTTCAGCTCACAAAACGACACTATTGATCCGTTCTTCCGGTAAAATACACGTACGGATTAAGTTTGATACAAAGTAGGAGACTCAACTAAAAAATCCCTTGCGTCTGAATGCCAGGTTCTAGCATGCGCTACTTCCACCATATTCGGATTGCACCGGAACACAACAGCATGTATCTCCGAACATAGGTCAGAAATACAACTCATTGTTGTATAGTACCGCACATCAAATTGACAGTACTTACAGTTTGTTGAGCAAACTAATAAGCAAGCAGCATTAAAAAACGGGAAGTAATGATCCAGAAGCCACATACAAAAATCGCCAATTCGCAAAGCCCAAAACGCTGCTGCAGATTCTCTTGTATGCGGGCTTTCCCGAAATCCAGCTCATTCCCGAGAGTGAGGTTCTCCGTCCAAAAACACCCTTTTCCAGTTGCGACAGACAGATCCCTAGAATATACTGCGCGGTGCCAAGGGCCCAGACAGAAACCTCTGGCTGCTAGGAGTACCCGTCGTCATGGCGAATCCGTCGCCACCATCTACACTTATCCTCCTGGCGGCCAGTGTAGCGTCGCATTGGTCCATCTCTATCCTCTGTGCTGACGACAGGCTGTGTCGCCGAGGGCCCTGTGACAGCTGCGGCGAGTCTAAATGCGTGGAGGCGGCGCATTGCACTTCGCACGAGCAGTAGTTGCTCATCCCGTGGCAGCTCCGGCAAATGCTGGACGATAAGGGAACGTCCCATTCGGTAGTTAACGACGTTGTGATCGACGGGGAGCGCTGGGGTTGGGGGGAAACAGCGAAATCAGCACTAGGTTGCACAGCATTTGTGCGACTGCCATGCTGGGCGCTCCCGGCGACGTTCGGCGACCTCTGGCGGCGAATTCGCGTGTCGGTCATCATGAACAGCCGGCTGTCCGCGTCAGCCCAGTCCAGTGCTGACTCGGACGCGCTGTGCTTCATCGCCGCCACTGCGTCAGCACCATTGGCGGCGGCAAATGCGGGCTGAAGCTTCTTCTCGCCAGCGGAGGCGAAGCGTCGTAGGCTGCGGGGCGCAAACTGCGCGAGCGTCGCGAGGACATTGGATTTGCGCGATGAGCCTTCGGACGAGGAAGGCGGAAAAGTGGTCCTGGTCGTGGCTGTCGATGGTGTGCTGGCCCGGTCGCAGCATTCTTCGTCAAGTGCAGCAATCTGGGGATTGAGGATTTGACGTTAGTTGAGCTTTGGTGAGGAAATTAATGTAAGATTGCGAAGAAGGTTGGCCGAAAGTATCGTTGTTTGAAAACGGGGCTTACCTCAGCGAGGATGGGATTCGAGAGGGGTGATGGGGGGCGAGGAGGCTTGGTTTCGTGTCGCTGGCTGGTAACACTGGACACGGACGACGCCGGCGAAGGGTTGTTGGACGACACCCTGCTTCGGCAATTCTCGCCACGGAGAGGCGACAGGTCAATTTGACGCCTTTCAAAAATTGCTGTCACTGGGCTAGTCATGTTCTTCAGCGTTTTCCTTCCACTGTAGGTCTTCGACTTGAAAAGTCCACCCTCGTTTATCGAATCCTCATCCGCGTTTACTTCTCGGCTCGAACAGAAACTGCGGCGTCTGTTGCCCAAACCTTTTGGCGTAACGAAGCTGAATTCCGACTCCGCGATGCTCGTTTCAAGCTCGCTTCGCACATTGCTGCTTCCGGGCGACGAGATCCTCGTAGTAGTCTCGACCGTCGCGCGTAAATGTCGGTGCACGTTGCGCGCTAGCGGGATCGCGTCACTCGAGGAGGCTACGCCGGCTCGTAGGCTTCGGCGCGTCGGCGGAAGAATCGGCGACCCCTCGCGCGAAACAGAGCTGCGGCGCGGAGGGGGGCGGATGGTCGACGCTTTCGGCGCAGCACGCTTCGGCGCGAGGAAATAGGATTCGCCCGGGACGAGCGGCGTGGTTGGAGACACGACGGATACGGCCGATGTGAGGTGCATGTCAGGGTATTCGGAGAGGACGGTCTGGCCCGTTAGATGCTCGCCGATTTGGGTCGACGCGTCGTCGAAGAAGCGAATGGAACCGTCAGGGAGCATGACGATGACGGGATCATCGTGATGTTTGACGGTGTCCGTCACGCCTGTGGAGGTTTTGAAGGAGAATTGTCGCGCAGCTATGGCGCTGATTGCGGCCATTGTTCGACGGATCGCCAATCGCAATGCAGAGTCGAAATTACCGAGATAGGAGGTATTGGGGCGAGAGGGTAGAAGCGGCTGAGCGACAAACTGATGGAATGCTAAATTGGGAAAGGGAAGGCTGACTGAAAGAGATTCATATAGCGGTACGTGGAGTGGACGCTTAGGAGGCAAACTGACACTCCAGTTCGACGTGTCGCAGATCAAAATGCACGTCCCATCCGTGACCGACCTTCTCCATGTTGCGATTTTTGTATTCCAGCTTTCGAAAATAAGGGGCATTGGTCGTTTCGGCATTTGTTCGAGCCCCTATGGGATGCGAGTGGTTGTGGTGGAAATTCCGCCGTGGATTGCTCAATGCGTCAAGCCGAGAGAGTGGAGCGGTGGGTTTCTTGGCGGGTCAGGTTTCGCCTGATGTTGCGGGGCGGGGGATCGGGGACGTGGGGAAGTTGGTCGGGGGGCGGGGAGTTTGGTCAGGCGGGGAGGAGAGTCGGTCGGGGAGGAGCCGGGGACAGGAAAGTGGGGACGGGAATCGGTATGGATGATTTACGACCACAGATTGGACGGGTTGGGGAAGGAAGAGTGGACTAGTTGCGACTTGAGCACGTGATACGGAGGCATAAGGCAGGGCGAAATCGCGCGCATCGGCGGAAATCGTGTTTGTCTCAAAAGAATCGAACCAAATTGCTCCTCGCTTGCCTCGTGGGCGTTTTTCTCAATTGATTCGACCCCCCTTTTCCCCGCCCCCCCACCCCGTTTTTCCCGCCCTTGCCCTCCGAAATTCGGGCGCCGGCTGGAATTTCGTGAAATCACAAAAAGTCACGAATACATTCTTTTTCGTAACGCCAAATCCACCATGTAGTTGTGGGATGCCACATCAGCTTTCGCAATAGACAATTTCAGCGGTTGCTTCTCAATCTCAGGAGCAACATATGCACGTTGATTGTATCGTATTTTTTTTGGATTAGCCCATGCCATTAATGTAGTTAGGGGCTCAAAAAAACACACGACAAAAAACCTATTAATTTTTATGGGTTTTATGTATATACATGATGCTTATTCCAGAATTCATAAAACTAAGAGTTAAATTTCATAAATTTCAAATAGGAATCACTCTAGGGCAAAATAAAAAAAGTATGTTTTTGAAATAGGTAGATGTTTTTATTTGTACTTCTTGATATTTTTTAGAAAACAACATTTACTCGTATTACAAAGATTCAAAAAAAATGTTACTGCAGTGGCACATAATAAATAAAAATCCAAATTACTGCTAAATTTATCATTAGAAGTCATAGGTGTTCTGTCCAATCAGATGTCGCTCGCATGTTGAAATCCTGGGGTTACGAAAAAACATGTATTCGTGACGTTTTGTGATTTCACGAAATTGCAGCGGGTGCCCGAATTTCGGAGGGCAAGGGCGGGAAAAACGGGGTGGGGGGGCGGGGGGAAAGGGGGTCGAATCAATTGAGAAAAACGCCCACGTGGCGAGCGGGGAGCAATTTGGGTCGATTCTTTTGAGACAAACACGATTTCCGCCGATGCGCGCGATTTCGCCCATAAGGCAGACAGGGCTAGGAAGGAGAGGAAACTTTTTCGTTTTGCGCAACTGAATGGTTTCCTTCTGAATCCGGAATCTCCACCCCAAAAGCGGTGAACCACCCAGGAAGGATGGCCAAAGAGAAGGGCTGGGAAAAGTCTTGCTGGACGCAAGCGCTCCGCTCCTTCCTTTCGGTTAGCACAGTGACCTTGAAAGAGAAGCAGATCAATCACTCGCATGTGGGTTCGACTAGAGCTAGTGGGGAACTTGGAAGCCGCATACTTGCTTTTGACGAAAAAAAAAAATCGGAACTACAGGAGGAGATGCAAGTGGACCTACCCTGCGACCCTCGCAAGCACCCAATATCCTTTAAGCGCTACAAGCACAACCGCAACTGTATTCTGTTTCTAATATACTGTAACGAAATTTTCAAGGAAAAGATAACAACAAAAACAAAGAAAGTTTCTGTTTCTCGACTCTGTTTGCGCTATTTTCTCGGACCAACTTCAGGGCCCAATTCAGAAGTCATCAGTCAACCCATAATTCTCTTTCCAGCAAGTAGTTTCTCAGTTCCATAGGCTCGTTCCTCACGTCTCTAAAACACCGCGGTCAGCATGTCAAAGCGGTCCGGCGACTACGACCACGAGAACGGTCGCGAGAAGCGGCGAGAGCGGGACGAGCGGAGCGACGCGGACGTCGTCTTCCGCATCCTCTGCCCGCAGGCACGGCGGTAGAGGCACGACGGTAGAGGCACATCAGTACAGGCACGGCATTAGAGGCACATCGGTAGAGGCACGAGGCAGAGGCACGACATTAGAAGCACATCAGTAGAGGCACGGCGTTAGAGGCACATCGGTAGAGGCACGGCGGCGAAGGCGTTCGTTAGCGACATGGCGTAGGAGTTGGCCGTGCATCCAGCTCTTGCCCTCTTTCCCACCACACGCGCTCCACCTGCCATCTTCTTTTTTCGTTTTCTTGCCAATCCGTTCTCACGCCGTGGCTCACCCGAGTCTCCATAAGGGCTCTCCCGAGGCTCTCGGAGTAAATCACAAGCAGAGTGAAAATAGCGCTGTTTCGCACCCGCGTTCTTTCAACAAACCCTTCATTTACGCAACCCATTCTCTCCACCCCCTCCCCCCCTCCCTCCCTCCCCCCCTCCTTCCACCACCGACCCCCTTCCACCTCCCACCTTCTTTGTTCTTCAATCCCGTTGATCTGATTCGCCGTTCCGCCAGGCGCGGATCGGATCGCTTCTCGGGAAGCACGGCGTGATCATTCAGAGCATTCGCGAGTCCACCGGGGCGCGCCTGAAGCTAGCAGATCCCATCCCCGGCACGGACGAACGCGTTATAATCATCTCCGCGCGTAGCGACAATAATGTTTGCAGCATTGATTCCGCGACCGGCGGCGACGCGGCTGTGGATCGCCCGGACGACTGGTCCGTCGCACAGGAAGCCCTGATTCGCGTGCATGCGAGAATCGCCGACGCGGATGGCGACAATCGCGAGTTTCGCGGCAAGGACGGAGCAGAGGGTGGTGCTAGTAACGGAGCTGCTAATAGCGGAGGAACCCCCGCTAGGCTGCTCGTGCCGAGCAGTCAGATTGGGTGTCTTCTGGGGAAGGGCGGCTCGATCATCGCGGGCATGCGGCAGGACAGCGGCGCGCATATTAGGATCTTCAATAAGGACAAACTGCCGCCCTGCGCGCTGCCGACGGACGAGTTAGTGCAGGTACGCAACCGTCAGCCGTCTTGTTAGGGTTGAATCCTCGCCCAATCCATGCCCATCCGTGTCATACTCCTCGTTACAATTCTCGTTCAATCCCGTGTCGCCACGTGGCAGGTGACAGGCGAGTATCCTGTGGTCCAGAAGGCCCTAGAGCTCATCTCCATCCGCCTCCGTCGCTCGCCTCCTCGCAATTCTCGTCCCAATCCTCGTCCAATCCCGTGTTGCCACGTGGCAGGTGACGGGCGAGTATCCCGTGGTTCAGAAGGCCCTAGAGCTCATCTCCATCCGCCTCAGACGCTCGCCCCCTCGCGACCCGCCCAACTTCCTCGCCATGCACCCCACGTCTGGTTACCACCAGCCCGCTGGTTACCCCTCTCGCTCCGCCCCAGCCGCGGCCTTCCCCCTGCCGCACACCCCGCAAGGCTACTCCCCCTACGCTCCCCTCCAGAGCTACGCAGCTGCACCGTCCCCGTTCGGGGGAGTGTGGGGCGCGGGCGCAGCAGCAGGGGGAGCACACAGTTATGGGGGGATGGGGGGCGGGGGGAGGGGCGGGGGAGGCGCGGAGGGGGTTGCTGTGGAGATGGAATTGCGGGTGCTGTGCCCCTCGGATAAAGTGGGGATCGTTATTGGCAAGGGCGGGTCGCGGATCAAACAGGTGTGTGTGACTGTAACGCAGCAGGTGGAGGAGCGAGTGGGGAGGGTTTATCATGCACGGGAGTGAGTGCAAGAGATGCGAGTTGCACGAGGTGAAGAAACAAGTTGCGTGGCAGTATACCATGGTCTGAGTCTGTACTCTGTGTGCTTCCTTTCATATCTAACAACGGGTTTCTGGCCCCTTCTGTGCGCGTTGCGTTGCTCCGTTTCAATGGTATGGGTGGGATTGCTTGCAATGTGCTCCCCTGCTTGCATTGGCTGCTTTCTTGCTTGCTCGCATGGGTTGCACTGCGTGCTTGCACGGGTGGTGTGGTGTGGTGTGGTGTGGTGCGTGTGTGTGGCAGATCAAGGAGGAGACGGGCGCGCGAGTGAAGGTCACAGAGGCCGTTGCTGACTGTGATGAGCGCATCGTGATCATTGATGCCATGGAGGTGAGTGAGTTGATACTTGACTCGTTGACTGCTTGACTGGTTGTTCTTTTAGGCGCTGTTCCGCGTGCATGCAGCCATCTCATTCCCTCCTCTCTCTCCCCCAGGCCCCCTTCTCCGCCCACTCGCCCACGGAAGAGGCGCTGTTTCGCGTGCATGCAGCCATTTTACCCTCTCATCCCCCCACCCACAACTCCACCCATCCCCACTCCCCCCCATCACCCCATCTCCCCCCGCGCCCCCACCCCCTTCCCCCTCCCAGGCGCCCTTCTCCGCCCACTCGCCCACTGAAGAGGCGTTGTTCCGCGTGCATGCAGCCATCTCACAACCCCACACAGGAGACAGGGGGGCAGGCGCAGGGGAGGAGGGCGGGAGAGACAGCCACGGGGTCACTGCACGGCTTCTCGTCCGGAAGGGGCAGGTGAGTGAGAAGAGACGAATGGAGGGGAGCTGTTAGCCAATCTCACTCTATCTCTCGGTCCCCTCTTTTCGTTTTGAGACGTCTCAATCTCAACGCCTCCGTTCTACCCTCTTCTTCACCATGCCTCTGTTCTTCTTTAGTCCTCTCGCCTCTCTCCGGCCCCCCCGTCTCCTGCCTCCTCGTCTCCTCCTCCTTCTCTCCCCCCACCTGACTTCTTCTGCATGCCACCAGGTGGGTGTGTGATGGGGGTGTGTGATGGGCAATGTCAGCAGTATTATCGGCGAGCTAAGGAGCTCGAGCAGGGATTTAGTCGATTCCGGACTCCTCTCCCCTCTTCGCCATGCCATGTGCTTTCTACTCACCCCTCCCGTCGTCGCCTCTCCCTTCATTGGTTCCTCCCCTTTTTGGCCAGGTGGGGTGTGTGATGGGCAAGGGCGGCAGCATCATCAGCGAGCTAAGGAGCACGAGCAGGGCGCGCATCAGCATCCCTCCCAGGGACCAGCTGCCTAAATGCGCGGATGAGAGTGATGAAGTGCTCGTGGTGAGTGGCGTTGATGGGTGGTGATGGGTGGTGAGTGGTGGTGGTGGGTGGTGGTGGGTGGTGGTGAGTGGTGGTGATGGATGGTGAGATGGTGGGTGCTGGTGTGTGGTGAATGCTGTATAGTGGGTGAGTGCCATTTGATTAGAGCTTAAGAACGTGGCACTCTTCCCCCTCTTCCCCCTCTTCCCCCTCACCCCTCTCCTGTCCTCCCCTCCCTCTTTCCCCCACCAGGTATCAGGAGAGCCCCACAGTGTGTTTCACGCGCTGCGCCTCATCTGTGCGCGCATCCGAGGCAGGGAAACCGCCGTTGCCTCTAAAGGCGCTGCTGCTGGTGGTGCTCGTGGTGCTGCTGCTGCCGATGCTCGTGCTGGTGCTGGTGGTGGGGGTGGTTATGCGGAGACAGGGAGGGGAGGGGGGTATGGGTATCCTAAGTCGAACAGTCGAGGGGATGGGGCGTATGGGTATTCAACACCAACGCCAGCAGCAGCAGCAGCAGCAGCAGCAGCAGCAGCGCCAGCAGTGGTGGCGACTCTCTCTGCTGGGGGACCTGATGGCACTGTTGGGTGGTCGTACGAGGTGAGGTGCATTGCACTGGGATGGGATGAGGTCCGTTGCGGTGTAAAGTGGTGCGTTGTTGTTGTGGTGAGGTGATGCATGCATGTGTGGAGAAAATTCATTCTTTTGAAGTCCCTGTTTCCGTCACACTTCAACCGCTTGCTCACTCCCCCCGCTGTTTTTTCAACTGTTGATTGTTTACTGTCCTCTCCCTCCGTCCTCCCTCCCTTCCCCCCCTCCTCTCTCTCCCTCTTTTGCCTCCTTCGCTCCTTCTCACGTTCTCTCTTCGCTCCCTCGTTCACCCGCCTCTCCTCTCCCCCGCACACCCCTCCCTTCTGAGCAGCCAAAGGTGGAACCCTCGTACCATGACTCGGGCTACTCTGCTCCCAGGTAACACCTGCTCCCAGGTAACACCTGCTCTCCAGTATCGCCTCTCCTCATTGCAGCATTCTCTGCTTCCGAGTCACGCCACATTCGTTTCTCGCTTCTCTCCTTTCCCCCCTTGCTTGTCTTCTCCTCCTGCCACTCTCGTCTCGCCACACAGGGGCTCTGGCTGGGATATGGCGCCAGCAGCAGTGCAAGAGTATGGCGGCAGGTGGGTCGCACGATTCAGAAGTCTATTCTGCAATCTATACCGTTTGCATCACTCTTCTTTTTCACCTCCCACCTTCCTCTGAAATTTCTCATCATTCCCATTCTTGTTACCCTCCCATTGCCCTTCCATCTGCCTCTCCAACCCCTCCTTATCCTTGTTTTGTTACCCTCCCAACCCCTTCCCACCCTCCTCATCATCCCTTTCTGAGTTACCTTCCGTTCCCTTCCAGCCCCCTCCTCATCCCCTTTCTTAACTGCTATCCCTTTCCCCTCGCCTCATCACCCTCCCTCATTCTCTATATGCAGCTACTCACATGCCACTGCACCCCCCTCCGCATTCCCTTTCCGTCCCACCCCTCCTCTCCTCCCCCTCCCCCTCCACACCCCCTCCTCCTCTGCACTCTCCTTCCCCCTCCCCTGTTTTCTATATACAGCTACTCACATGCCTCGGCATCCGCACCTGCCCACTTCTCCTCGCCTCCTCCCACTCACACTGCTGCTGCTGCTGCCAGTGCTGGTGGTACCACTGGTGGCGGCAGTGCTGGTGCTGCTGGTGGGTCAGGGGGAGCAGCAGCAGGGGGAGTGATGACGGCGCTGGTGACGGTGCCTGCGGTGGCAGCAGGGGCGGTTATTGGCAAGGGGGGATCCAACATTCAACAGATCAAAAGCGTATGTGTTGGGGGGGAGTAAAATGAGGCAGGGGCAGGGGGGGAGGGGCAGGGGGGAAAGTGGTGGCGGTGCTGCAGACGGTGCCTGCGGTGGCAGCAGGGGCGGTTATTGGCAAGGGGGGAGCCAACATCAGATTAAAAGCGTACGACGGGGGAGGGGGGGGTGCACGTTGGAGAGGAGGGTGTGTGATGGAGGTTGGGGTTCGGTGGGGGGAAGTGTATGATGGGGCGTGTATGATGGTTTCGTGTATGATGGGGGCCAGGATGCAGTTGCAGCCTTGCAGGCATTCTGAGGAGAGTGGGGGAAGAGTGTCAAACTTGGTGATTGTGATACCAAATTATTCGATGTGGTGAAGGGCAGGCAGACCATGTGCAAGCGGCTCCCTTCCCTGCTTATCCTCCCATTTCCTCACATTTCCACTCCCCCTGTTCTGCATTCACCCTATCATATATCAGGGGCGAGAGTGTGCGAGATGTGCCGCATGGTAACCAACCACTCGCTCCCCCATCCCACCTGTGCAGATCTCAGGGGCGCGTGTGCGCATGTATGAAGGCAGGGAGGGCGACAGCGAGCGAGTGGTGGAGGTGGTGGGGTCGGCAGACCAGGTGCAGGCAGCTCAGGCCATCATCCACGCGTTTGTCATCAAAGGCACCGCTGCTGCTGAGAGGCATGCGGAGAGGCGTGAGGCTTACTGAAGAGGCGGCAGACACAGTAAGTGGTTATTGAACAGAGTCATGCTTGGCGTGGATCATGCTTTAAGGGTGTGGGGTTGGCGGATCAGGTGCAGGCGGCTCAGGCCATCATCCAGGCGTTTGTGATCAAAGGCACCGTCGCTGCTGAGAGGCACGCGGAGAGGCGCGAGGCGTACTGACGCCCTTTTGAGGTGCCTCAGAGGGAGGTGACAGCAGGCGTGGTGAGTGCTGGTTGTATCATGTTTGGTGGGCATGTGGGGTCATGGCATGCGGATGGGGTCATGGCATACATGTTTGCTCCATGACATCCCACCACCTGGTGCAATTTTCCATACCCCATGCACCATGCACCATGCCCCAAAACCTATGCCCCATTCCCCATACACGATGCCCCATGCCTCGTGCCCCACACCCCATATCCCATACCCCACACACCTCATGCCTTATGCCTTGCCTCTTGCCTCTACCTGTGTTCCTTACCATTCCAAGCCTTGTTGATGGCCCATTAACTCAGCCCATCTCCAGCGCCTGTCATCGACATCCCATCCCACTCCCATGCCCGTGCCCTTACCTGCTCTGCCCTTTCCACCATGCCATGCCTGCCGTTTCCCTTATCAATCCGCTATGCCCATGCCCATGCACCACTCTGCAGCAGCGCAGCAGAGCCCTGTCGATGACGCACCCTTCACTCACCACTCGCCACTCTCCTACAGACACCCTTGACCAGAGCAACACAGCCTTGCCACTCTGCTCTGGATGCCCTTCACTTGACCCGCTCAAGCCCTGCCCAGGACAGGATCTTTAGGGGCATTGGACCGTGGCTTAGAGTCCTAGCACCCATGCCCGTCTGCTTCACAGATCTGGAACCTGTGTTGAATACGGCGAGACTCAGCCAAACAGACGATTTTTTAACAGAAGCTTCTGTGAGCTTCTGTGCCAGCACAAGTGAATCTTTGTGGTTGCTCGGGCTGTTTCCCCCTCCGAGCCTTATGTTTACCCTCCAAGCCTTGTGCTTTTTTCCCCTGTTGCTGTTCTCACATCTAATCCCATGATGCGTTAAAGCCCTTGTCATTAGCTCGCCAAGTGCGGCAGGCAGATGATATTCCCTTGTGTCCATTCAAGTGACCTTTGAATCGACTCAGAATTTGCCTCTTTTTTCTATGCCCAACCCAAATCCAAACCCATTGACCACCATGAGCCTCTTTGACTCAGAAACAGTTTGCTTCCAAATAACAAGCCAAAGCATTTGCCCCCAGCCAACTCCAAAAGTGTCATTTCAGTGTGCCTTGTATCCTACAGCAAACCAACTTCCCTCATCATTTCCAAGCCAGAAACTTTTCATTAACCAGCTTGATCTGAAAGTGTTCCATTAAATGTGGCTTCATGGCCAAACCACACCAACTCAAGCATGTGAGCCCATGACATGGGCCCTTGTCTATCCATGCATGCGAGCGCACAAAAACTCTTTTATCCATGTGTGCGCACACAAGAACCCTTCCATCCATGCATGTGCGCACACAAGAACCCTCCCATCCATGCATGAAGCATTTGTGCATTTGAGCACACGATGCATGAAACATTTGTGCTGGTTGGTGTTTATATGTTGTATTATGACTGTAGCACTGGCAAAGGGTGTCATTGCGTTTCTGAAGTTTCGAAAGGATGCTGAAGTGTGTATTGGTGTAATAGTATACTGAGTTATTTCTGCTGATTTGTCCTATCGAAATAGATTTCAGAATGGACCTCACTTTGTGATGAGCTAACTGCCATCACTGTACGCTTGCAAAAATCATTCAAGCAGGACTGTCACTAACGAGGACGCAAATCCCGAGGGCGATGGATTCACATTTCTACTTCCGCAAATCCCCAGAGCAATTACCACATTTCTAGCTCACATTCTGAACTGCGGAGCCATGGCGTCGGATCACGAAATTCCGCTCCTCCCGTCGCCGTCATCCCGCCTCTCTCCCTCCTCTCGCGCGCATCTTACGAACGTCGCGGGGGACTCGAGCCGCAATTCCCGGTTCCGCCGGCACACCGCGTGGGTGCTGTTCACCTTAGCAGCCGTGCTGCTCCTTCTCTTGCTCGAGCTCGAAATCCTTCCCCTGCCTTCGTACCACTCGCGTTCGTACACGTCAGAGTCCTACGTGGCTCATTCTCAGCCACGTGGTCCCGCGGAACCGCGCAGTCTAGAATCCGCGTTAGGTCCATATGCGAATTTCGATCCTTCCGGTCGTTTTCGTGAAGGGGAGAGTGCTTATAACGAAGGCTGGAAGAACGCGGAGGAATGGCGCAAGCGGGCTGCGCAGCTCCCCCGGCTGCGCGCGGAGCAGAGGCGCGCGCGGAAGGCGCAAAGGCATGTGGGGAAACCGCCTGGCGATGGCGCAGGGGGGAGCGGAGGGGGAGGCGTGGGGTTGCGCCTGTGGCCCATGCCGGCGGAAATAGCGGCGGAAGGAAGCGGAGAGGTAGTAGTCAGCCCGAACCTGAGGCTCGACATTAGCTTCGGCGGAGTGTCGAGCCTGCTAGACGGGGGAAAGCGGGAGGAGAATGCGGAGGTGCTGCGACGCGCGTTCGAACGGTACCTTGGGATCATCTTCGCGCATGATTATTCGCGGCGGCGCGGCGCGCAGAGCCATGGCGGCTCGGAGAGGCGCCGGCTGGGGGGAAGAAACGCGGCGGAAGAGGGTTGGAAGGCGGAAGGGGGAGGAGACGAGGCGGAACGGAAGGGGGGTGAAAAGGAGGGAAAGGGGGAAGAGGAGAGTGGAGCGAAGGGGGAGGGAGAGGGATTGGAGGAGGGGGAGGAGGGGGTAGAGGTGGTGGAGTGGGTGAGAGTGCACGTGGAGGACGCAGAAGCAGAGGTGCGAGTGGGTGAGAGTGGGTAAGAGGGGGTGAGAGGGGATGAGAGTGCATGTGGAGGACGCAGAAGCCCAGGTGAGAGAGGAGTGCTGCAGAGCCTTCTGTCCTCATGCTCAGCTCAACATGGGCTTATATCCTCGGTTGTAACTTGTTGCGTTCCGTGACCTGTCTAGTGGCATGATGAATTCAGCGGTGCTTCACATTGTGCTGCAGTGCGTTTTGTCCTTGTGCTCAGCTCAATCATGGGCTCATGTCCTCGGTTGTAGCTTGTTGCGTTCCGTGACCTGTCTAGTGGCATGATGAATTCAGCGGTGCTTCACATTGTGCTGCAGTGCGTTTTGTCCTTGTGCTCAGCTCAATCATGGGCTCATGTCCTCGGTTGTAGCTTGTTGCGTTCCGTGACCTGTCTAGTGGCATGATGAATTCAGCGGTGCTTCACATTGTGCTGCAGTGCGTTTTGTCCTTGTGCTCAGCTCAATCATGGGCTCATGTCCTCGGTTGTAGCTTGTTGCGTTCCGTGACCTGTCTAGTGGCATGATGAATTCAGCGGTGCTTCACATTGTGCTGCAGTGCGTTTTGTCCTTGTGCTCAGCTCAATCATGGGCTCATGTCCTCGGTTGTAGCTTGTTGCGTTCCGTGACCTGTCTAGTGGCATGATGAATTCAGCGGTGCTTCACATTGTGCTGCAGTGCGTTTTGTCCTTGTGCTCAGCTCAATCATGGGCTCATGTCCTCGGTTGTAGCTTGTTGCGTTCCGTGACCTGTCTAGTGGCATGATGAATTCAGCGGTGCTTCACATTGTGCTGCAGTGCGTTTTGTCCTTGTGCTCAGCTCAATCATGGGCTCATGTCCTCGGTTGTAGCTTGTTGCGTTCCGTGACCTGTCTAGTGGCATGATGAATTCAGCGGTGCTTCACATTGTGCTGCAGTGCGTTTTGTCCTTGTGCTCAGCTCAATCATGGGCTCATGTCCTCGGTTGTAGCTTGTTGCGTTCCGTGACCTGTCTAGTGGCATGATGGAATCAGCGGTGCTTCACATCGCATCGCATGGCGTTGCGTGGCATTGTCTGGTACCAATATCATTGCATGGCATGGCATGGCATGGCATGGCATGGGATGGAATGGAGTCATGGTGTGTGTGCAGCTGCACATGGGAGTGGACGAGAGCTACGAGTTGTCCATCCCACAGGCATCGACACCATCATATGATGCTGTTGATGCGGCACATGATGCGGCACATGATGCGGCACATGATGCGGCACATGATGCGGCACATGATGCTGCTCATGATGCTGCTCATGATGCTGCTCATGATGCTGCTCATGATGCTGCTCATGATGCTGCTCATGATGCTGCTCATGATGCTGCTCATGATGCTGCTCATGATGCTGCTCATGATGCTGCTCATGACGGCAACACAAACGCACGCCAGGGCCATGCCACCACTCACGCCACCATTCGGGTGAGTACAGCGCAGTGCGTGCCCATACCCCTGTGCTAACTGAACTGCTAATCTGACATTTTTTCCTATCCTTTCCTAATTACATCTTCTCATGTTTGGCTGTTATAATCCCGCGCCCCTTCCGTCCATGTATGCACATGCGTCTGTCTGTGCGTCTGTCTGCCTATCTGCAGGCCAACACCACCACCGGAGCATTGCGAGCGCTGGAGGTGAGTACTGTTCAAAATACTCCACACTCGTCTTTTGAGCAATTCTTGTGAGGGCACACGACCACACTCGTCGATGTCGCCTCGCCACAGGTCACCAACGGCCATGCCTGCATATGAGTCTCAATACCCTCACCGTCTGCTTGTCCCACCTCCACTCATGGTCAAGTGCGCATCTTGGAAACTCCAAAAAAATTCACCAACCACACTGTCGTCTCTCTCCCTGCCCTTCTCTTCGCCATAGGGCCTCCCCTCCTTCCCTTTCCCCACTCCTCCCCCACCTGTTTTCCCCAATTTCCTGGCTCTCCCCTTTGTACCCCTTTATCCTTGTTCTCCTTTTCCTCCTTTCGCTCGTCCCTCCGTCCCTTCCCTGCCTCCCTGCACCAGACCCTCTCCCAGCTCTGTGTATTCGACTTCGTGGCTCGCCTGGTCACTATCCGGGGCGCGCCCCTTCTCATCCGTGATGCCCCCCGCTTTCAGCACCGCGGGCTGCTCATAGGCAAGTCAAGCACTGGAATGGACTGTTTCTCCTCAGAAGACTACTTTCATCCAATTCCTCGTATTTTCTTGTTTCACCTGATGGAGGGTATGCCATCCCTGGCATCTCTTTACTTACCCCCATCATTCCCCACCATCCCCCACCATCCCATGGTCCCACCAGACACGGCGCGGCACTTCCTGCCAGTACCAGTGATGGAGAGGGTTATTGACTCCATGGCCTATGCCAAACTCAACGTTCTGTGAGTGCTGGGACATGGAGCCACTAGTGGGTTCATGCCATGCATTCATGCACTCATGAGTGCTGCAACCCATGCTTTTGAGTTCACTCAAAAGTCACTGCATTGACCAACGCGCCAGTGCCGCCAAAAGCCAGTGGCAGTGATGGAGCGAGCCATTGACTCAGTTGGCCAACTGAGCGAGCCATTGACCGTTGCGAATGATTCAGTTGGCTTGTGGTGGATTCGCAAATCATTCAGTTGGAAATTCCTCAGCGCCCCTCGTCCATTTTATTTCTCTCTGCCATTTATCCCGCCCCCAAACCCTCGCCACCAGGCACTGGCACATGGTGGACTCACAGTCTTTCCCCATTGAGACGCCCTCCTTCCCTCGCCTCTGGCTCGGAGCTTTCTCTCCCGCTGAGCGCTACACCACTGATGACATGCGCCACATCGTGCAGTCAGTATCTGCTGTCACTCTCCCCCTTCCCCCATTCCCTCTTCTCTAGCCTTCCTTTTGTTTCCGTTCTCTTCCTCGCTGAGCGCTACACCACTGATGACATGCGCCACATCGTTCAGTCAGTGCCTTCTCCCTCTCTCCCTCTCGCTCCCTCCCTCTACCCCTCCTTTTCTCGCTCCTTTTCTCGAGCTGGATTTTGAGAATTCTCAAAATCCTGCCTGTCACCTCATGCCAACTCTGTGCTGGCTGTTCTTCCCACCCTCTCGCCACTTGCCAACTCCCTTCCTCCCTTTCTCTGCTTCTCTTATTCCCATTCCTTCTCATCTGTTTCAATCCGTCTCAATCCCATTGTTTCCCATTGCGTGCCCTCTTGTTGCCCAGATACGCGGAGGAGAGGGGGGTGATGGTGGTACCTGAACTCGACTCACCTGCACACGCTGCCTCATGGGGAGTGGGCTATCCCCCACTCCTGCCGTCCGCTGCCTGCCCTGAGCCTCTCGATGTCTCCAACCCTTTCACCTTCCAGCTCATCAGAGGGGTGCTGCAAGGTGTGGTTGTGTGCAAAGGGGTGGGGCAAGGTGCGTGCGTATGTGTAAGGGGTTGTTGCGACACTTGTGTCCAACCCCTTTCACCTTCCAGCTCATCAAAGGGGTGATGCAAGGTGTGTGTGGGCGCAAAAAGGTGGGGCAAGGTATGTGTGTGCGTGCAAGCGGGTTGTTTTGAACCCCTTCACCTTCCAACTCATTAAAGGGGTGCTGCAAGGTGAGCTTGTGTGCAAGGGAGTGCTGCAAGGTGTGAGTGTGTGCATGGTATGGGTGCTCTGCACCTCTTCGTGACTCTAACTTGATGTCACCTTAAACTTGACTTCACCTACAACTTGACTTCAGTTGCTTACCTCGCATCCACTTCACCTCCTCAATGCAACCTGCCCAACCCCATCCCTCCCCGTCGGTTGCCTGGTCTCCCGGTTACCCCGTTTCCCGGTATCCCGGTTTCCCGGTATCCCGGTTTCCCGGTATCCCGGTTTCCCGGTTTCCCGGTTCCCCGGTTTCCTGGTTTCTCGGTATCCTTGTATCCCAGTTTCCCTGTTTCCCGGTTTCCCGGTTTCCCGGTTTCCCGGTTTCCCGGTTTCCCGGCTTTCCGGTTTCCCAGTTTCCCGATATCCCGGTTTCCCAGTATCGTGGTTTTCCGGTTTCCCGGTTTCCCAGTTTCCCGGTTTCCCGGTTTCCCGGTTTTCCGGTTTCCCGGTTTCCCGGTTTCCCGGTTTCCCGGTTTCCCGGTTTCCCGGTTTCCCGGTTTCCCGGTTTCCCGGTTTCCCGGTTTCCCGGTATCCCGGTTTCCCGGTTTCCCGGTTTCCCGGTTTCCCGGTTTCCCGGTTTCCCGGTTTCCCGGTTTCCCGGTATCCCGGTTTCCCGGTTTCCCGGTTTCCCGGTTTCCGGTATCCCGGTTTCCCTGTTTCCCAGTTTCCCGGTTTCCCGGTTTCCCGGTTTCCCGGTTGCCCGGTTTCCCGGTTTCCCGGTTTCCCGGTATCCCGGTTTCCCGGTTTCCCGGTTTCCAGGTTTCCCGGTTTAACGGTATCCCGGTTTCCCGGTATCCCGGTTTCCCGGTATCCCGGTTTCCCGGTTTCCCGGTTTCCTGAGATCCCGGTTTCCCGGTATCCCGGTTTCCCGGTATCCCGGTTTCCCGGTTTCCCGGTTTCCAGGTTTCCAGGTTTCCCGGTTTCCCGGTTTCCCGGTTTCCCGGTTTCCCGGTATCCCGGTTTCCCGGTTTCCCGGTTGCCCGGTTTCCCGGTTGCCCGGTTTCCCGGTTTCCCGGTTTCCCGGTTTCCCGGTTTCCCGGTTTCCCGGTTTCCCGGTTTCCCGGTATCCCGGTTTCCCGGTATCCCGGTTTCCCGGTTTCCCGGTTTCCCGGTTTCCCGGTTTCCCGGTTTCCCGGTTTCCCGGTTTCCCGGTTTCCCGGTATCCCGGTTTCCCGGTATCCCGGTTTCCCGGTTTCCCGGTTTCCCGGTTGCCCGGTTTCCCGGTTGCCCGGTTTCCCGGTTTCCCGGTTGCCCGGTTTCCCGGTTGCCCGGTTGCCCGGTTTCCCGGTTTCCCGGTATCCCGGTTTCCCGGTATCCCGGTTTCCCGGTTTCCCGGTTGCCCGGTTGCCCGGTTTCCCGGTTGCCCGGTTGCCCGGTTTCCCGGTTTCCCGGTTTCCCGGTTTCCCGGTATCCCGGTTTCCCGGTTTCCCGGTTTCCCGGTTTCCCGGTTGCCCGGTTTCCCGGTTTCCCGGTATCCCGGTTTCCCGGTATCCCGGTATCCCGGTATCCCGGTATCCCGGTTTCCCGGTTTCCCGGTTTCCCGGTATCCCGGTATCCCGGTTTCCCGGTTTCCCGGTTGCCCGGTTTCCCGGTTTCCCGGTTTCCCGGTTTCCCGGTTTCCCGGTTTCCCGGTTTCCCGGTATCCCGGTTTCCCGGTTTCCCGGTTTTCCGGGGGGTTCCTCCAGCATGACTTCATCTCCAACTCGACAGTAGGGTGTTGCAAGGTGCATGCCTGCAAACCCATGATCAACACTCTTCTTCCACATTCACCTTATATGCACTCCCTTGCTTCTCTATTCCTCTTCTCCCCTGCTCCTCTGTTCCACCCACCCCACCACTCTTCCACCAGACCTCCGTGCTGTGTTCCAGAGCTCCCACATTCACCTTAGCCGTGCTCGCCGCGTACCTTACCCCCCCATCCCTCATACCGCCCCTCCTCCACCAGACCTCCGTGCAGTCTTCAAAAGCTCCCACATTCACCTGGGGGGAGACGAAGTCAGCTTTGGTGCGCATATACCCACACCACCCACACGCACGCACGCACGCACTAGCTTTTCCAACTGTCTCATCGCCACCGCACATTGCTGCTTCTGTTCTAGTTGCTCCTTATTTTCCCGTATGTTGCCACTTTCCCCTTGCTCCTTCTTGCTCTCATGGTTCAGCCACGAGTCATTGCTCCCCCTCTCCCCATCGTCCCCCCTCTCCTCGACCATCTCTCCCTTCTCCTCCCCCCAACCTCCCTCCGCGCATCAGAGTGCTGGAATTCATCTCCCACCATAAGTGCATGGTGAGTTGCTGACCTGTGTGAGCTGGTGTGCTGACCATGGATGAACGCTCTTGGACTCAAATTTCGAAACACCCCGCACTCCCACATCCCCGCTTCTCCACGTGGCCTCTGCACCTACCCCTACCTCGCTTTTGCATCCGCATCTCGTCCCCTCCTGCATCTCGTCCCCTCCTGCATCTCTTCCTTCCTCTGTGCCTGGCAACCAATCCGCACCCCTTTTCCCCCCTTTTTTCTGCCCCAGGCATGTAATGTTGAAACGGATATCAACCCTATCTATCCCTCCCTATTTGCCTGGCATCCAACAGCGGCAAACCTCCCTCCCAAACCCCCTTTCCCAACTCCCCCTTCTCCTGTACGCTGCAGCAGCGCAATCTAACAGCAGAGAGCGGCTATGGGTACTTTGTGAGGCGCGTGCAGGCCCTGGCCATGGAGGCTGGATGGGAGACTGCTGTCATTTCAGGTCTCTCCCCCCACGCCCGCCTGTCCAACCTCCCCTTCCCCCACTCCCCCGTTCTCCAAACTCACCACCCCTCCCGCCGACCCCTGCCAGGCTGCAGCAGCAGAATCTGACAGCAGAGGGCGCGTATGGGTACTTTGTGAGGCGAGTGCAGGCCTTGGCCGTGGAGGCTGGATGGGAGACTGCTGTCGTGTGGTGAGTGCAGTGTGTGGCAGGGTGTGGCAGTGTGTGGCAGGGTGTGGCAGGGTGTGGCAGTGTGTGGCAGTGTGTGGCAGGGTGTGGCAGGGTGAGGCAGTGTGTGAAATGCCACACACTTTCAGCAAACACCCTCACCATATGCTTCCACCACACACTCTCACCATATGCTCTCACCACATGTGCGCAGGGAGGAGCCGTTTAAGGTGTTCGGTGCTGACCTAGATCCAGCCACCACCATCGTGCAGAACTGGTGAGCGCGTGGGTGGGTGGTGGGGTGGGGTGGGGGGTGAGGCATGATTGGGTGAGTTGAGCCTGCCACCAGCATTTGGAGCCGTTCAAGGTGTTCGGTGCAGATCTCGATCCCGCCACTACCATCGTGCACAACTGGTGGGTGGGTGGCGGGGGGAAGGCATGGATGGGGGCGTGAGTATGCGTGTGTGGTGGTACCACTACCATCGTGCTCAACTGGTGGGTGTGTGGTGGGGGGGAGGACGGAAGAAGGGAGTGAGCATTTGTGTGTGGTGCCACAACTACCATCCCACACAACCTGTGGGCGTGCCTCTCTCCCCATCCTCTTCCCATCTTCTTCCCATCCTCTTCCCATCCTCTCCCCATCCTCTCCCCATCCTCTCCCCATCCTCTCCCCATCCTCTCCCCATCGTCTCCCCATCCCCCCTCATCCTCATGCCAGGTTTGACACGGCTCTGCCGCCCGCAATCGTGCAGTCTGGATTCCGCATGATCTTCAGCAATCTCAACCTCGGCTGGTACCTTGACTTCGTTGACCGCACATGGAATGAGGTGAGTCAACGCAAGTCAACGTGAGTCAACGGGAGTGAATGGGAGTCAAATGGAGACAAGCAATCTCAACCGCAACTGGCATCTTGACCTCACTGACCGCACCTGGAACAAAGTGAGTCAACACATGTCAACGCGGGTCAACAAGAGGTACAGGAGTCCATGTAGAGCGAAGCAGTATCACGCGTGACTGGACTGGAACCTAGACTTGCACCAACCGCAAACGACCCGGGTCGTGCTGTTCACCCCAATCACTCCGCCTTTTCCCCCCCCATTCTATGCTCTTCTATGTTGCGCGCGCTCAGGTGTATTCTCAGGAGCCGACAGCAGGGGTGGCAGAGGCGCTGCAGCACCTGGTGGTGGGCGGCGAGACGTGCATGTGGGGGGAGCGGGTCGACCCGTCTGACCTGCTCAACACTGTGTGGCCGCGCGCTGCTGCTGCTGCTGGTGAGATGCTGCTGCTGCTGAGATGCTGCTGCTGCTGAGATGCTGGTTCTGGTGAGATGCTGGTTCTGGTCTTTAATGGACTCAAAGCTCGAGACGTGCTTGTGGGGGGTGGACCCGTCTGACCACCTCAACACAGTGCGGCCTCGTGCTGCAGCTGCTGCTGCTGGTGGTGAGTTCATTCTGCCGCTGCTGCCAGAGGGGTGATGATTCTGGTTCTGAGTTGACTCAAAACTCGAGATGTGCATGTGGGGGGAGAGGATCAACCCGTCTGACCTTCTCAACACCGTGTGGCCTTGCACTGATGCTGCTGCTGGTGAGATGGCCTGCTGGTGAGGTGGGGGTGCGGTTGTTGCTTCGAGAGTGGTGCTGGCGGTACTGGTGAGATGATATTTCACTGCCTGCCCTCACCTTCTCCCCGCTCCCTATCCCCTTCCAATCACAGAGCGCCTCTGGTCCCCCCAGGCCTATGTGGGCTCGCATCTCCCTGAAGCACACACGCGCCTGCACATGTTCCGTTGCCTGCTCACATCCCTCCTTTCCTCCCATCATTATCCCTCTCGCTTTCTCCTCAGAGCATCTGTGGTTCCCCCAGGCCTATGTGGACTCGCATCCCTCTGAGGCACACACGCGCCTGCACATGTTCCGCTGCCTGCTCACATCCCTCCGTTCCACCCATCCCTCTCTTCCCATCTCTCTTGCTTTCTACCCAGAACGCCTCTGGTCAACGCGGGCATATGTGGACTCGCATCTCTCTGAAGCACACACGCGCCTGCACCTGTTCCGCTGCCTGCTCACATCCCGCGGCATAGAGGCCGCTCCGGTTGACAATGCCTACGCACGCTCCCAGCCCCCCTTCCCTGGTAGCTGCTATCGCCAATAAGCTCACCAGCATGTGAACCGGGCTGGGTTGAATATTTACACCCTGTGAGGCTGTTGTATCTACAGGTACCATGCATGGTCTTGGTGCAAACGCCAGGTTGCTGTGCTTTATAGTTGTTGCTACTGGCTGCTCTACGTCGCCTTTAGTGTGATTGTGTGATCACTGAAGCTGTAAGGTTGGGTTGGAGAACATGCCCTGTCTCCGTGCAAAAGTGGATTGCAAGCTATTTCCCCATGGTTTTTCAAAGTGTTTAGGTAGACGAGTATTGGATGATCTAATATATACCCTCCGCTCCGGGTCAATGTTGGAATTGTGGACTAAATACAATTTCCCCTCTATCACATTTCAAATGCATGAATGCACTATAGATTTTATCCCCGATGTCGATGTATCCTTAGCTATCCTCGTGTATATGCCTAACACCCTCGTGCATGCCTTCAGTGTATGATGGATGAGCTATAATCTACCGTATCCATATTTGAAATGCAAAGAAAATCAATTTACGACGGGCATAGTTGTACTGCACTTACAAAGATGTTCACTAGTTCCGCTTACAAAGCCGTATGTGGAAAACGTACTGGTCTTTTGCGCTGCCACCAGGTCTTGACGGATTGTGCATGCGCTGGATGGGCACCAATCCGCATCGTCAGAACCACGTGAAAGTTGCCACCTTTTCCTCCCCGTTCAGCAACAACAACAATGCCCCAATAAGAGCCACACTTTCCCTTTCCTGGGTCACTGCTCACGGAGAACGGTCAAATCATACGCTAGGTAGCAATTACAATTGATCTTAGAAAATTACGGTGTACAGCGTCGGATTTTCCACCTTTTCCCTCGCAAACTTCGGTCATCATGATGAGGCTTTCATACACATCAGTGGAGAGTATGGATTCACAAAAGGAGGTGCTTAGTAGTGTCAGATTCGGACACTAGCCCTGAAATATTGTCCGCTCCAGTTTCACGCCTAGGCAGGATGAACAGAACCGAGCACCCGAAAACGCGCCCATCCAACCGAACACGCCTTGCTGCCACCATGAGGCGGAGCAGAAAGTGCCAAGAAGCGGGGGTGCGTTGGTGGTGTTGGCAAAGGCTGGCCAGACCGCTCGGTTCTTGTTCAAATGTGCTGCTGATTCGATTCCGAACTTCACGTACGCATGTTTTTTCCGAAATAGAGAAAAGAACCACGAATTTTGACAAGAGACACTCTTAGGCTTCAGCTCGCGTATTTTGCACGTTATTGCGTCTGGGGAGAATGTGATGGCTACAAAACTTGCTCACTTTCGCCACTCCAACCCGTACATATTGGCGCTGTTCTGCAGGCACTCGATGCCGTCGGAGGAATGTGCCACGATGCTGCCAAAGCGTTGACATTTTGGGGGGCAGCCCAAAAAATTGTTTCATCTCTGTTGATGCCGTCAGAATGGCATTGGCTGCAGAACATGCCTTTTGGCGACGGCATCAGCTGGGTTCGAAACCTCACGGCGCTTTCCCTCTCGGGCATTTTGTGGTGCCTATGCCACCCCATGGCAAACCACCCCAGAGAGGTGGTTTGCCACGAGATGGCAGAGGCATCGGCCAGTTGGGACAACCGCGAACTCGCCTTGCTGAAAAGAAAATAGCCACCGAAGGCGCCCTTGTAACCAGAGGTTCGAAACCCTAATCAGAGGTTTGTGGGGACCGGTTGGCTTTTCGTTTTCCGATCGCATTTTACCCAACCATGGCACAGCTTGCTGCTAAACTTTCTACACAGCCCGTGACGAAATTGTTGCAACAGGGGGCGGAAGTCTCACCTCTTGGGCCCCCGCTTTCCTCAGCCGAAATGCGAAATTTTCCAAACATGGAAAGTGCTTCCAGCGCCAGGGGAAGTTTCTGGCGGCAGAAATTGATGCCGCTGCCATGCCAATGCCACCTGCCTGCAGAACAACGCCATTAGAACCCATCCAATTGGACAACCAGCACCTGAGACCTGATCCTGAAACCTGCTGGTCATGGTTCGGTGCCCTCTAGTTGTCAGAGTTCACTGTTCAGTGTGTTTGGTTCGAAATGAAAAACAGCATGCGGGGACGATAATCACCGCCTTTTGCTCCGATACAGTAACCGCGTCTGGGTGGGCTGCAAGAGCTGTTGGCTGCGCCGTTCCGCCTGCGGGTAGTGACAGCACTTGCTGATCAAGTCGCGGAGCTCGTTCGGGCAACTACGCGGAGTTCCCCAGCTAAACCCGAACAATTATCTCGACGGAATTCCCGACTATTAATACTGAATACATACTTCCGCTACCGAGACATAAAGCCCGATGCGGTAAACATTTGGTTCCATCAATGCCGTTTTGCTTCAGTTATTTTATAATGTCAGAGCAAAATAACTTCATCGTGTCAAGACACCTGACATGGGCGAAAGAACTTCATCGTTTCCACTGCATCATTGTCGGGCAGGGGCTTTCCGAAACCCAAAGACCCTCGCCTTGATTTTGCTTCGCTGTCAGCCCCACCTTGGTCCATTCCTTGCCCTCCCGCACGCCACTTCCATCGTTCTTGGTTGGCGTAGGGTTTGTT